CACACACACACACACACACACACTATCAGATCTGTCTGTCTGCAGTGCTTCAGTTCAGGGCTGTGACACTGTGTGTTTTCACGCTGAGGATCATGGGAAGGCTGAGTGACCGCATGTTAATAAGATCTGCTCTGCAGCTCAGAAGCCCGAGACGCTTTATGAGCTAAATTAAGTGCCGGTCTGACCTGATTTGAACCACAAACACACACCTGATGATCTACAAAACTGATCTTTCACAGAACAACATCTGAAAGCTTATGATGCTAACAAAACAACTACCAAAATAGTCTGTTTATTATTTATTCCTCCGAATAAAATCAGTTTCACGCACACTTTCCTCTCCATGTGACTCGTGCTTTCTGATTAGGATGTTTAATCTATTAGAGTGTTTGCATTGATCCAGGGCTATTAAAGTTAACCACAACACACACAAAAACCATTACATACATTATATCAGTATATTCAGTTTTAGTGATTGCTAGTGCTGTCAAACGATTAATCGCATCCAAAATAAAAGTTTTTGTTTACATAATATATGTGTGTGTACTGTGTATATTTATTATGTATATATAAATACAAACACATACAGTAAATATTTTGAAAATATTTACATGCATTCTTATATTTTATATTATATATATATATATTTAACAAATAAACATAACATATTATTCATGAATATATACATGCATGTGTTTCTATTTACTGTATATATACATAATAAATATACACACATACTGTATATTATGTAAATAAAAACTTTTATTTTGGATGCGATTAATCGTTTGACAGCACTAGTTATTGCTGTACATCAAGTTCAACTAAATAGTACTAAATGGTACTTAGCTAAATATTTAAACTAGTGAGTAAAATAACTGGCTTAAATATTTACGTTTTCTTTATTTTATTCTGTATTTTATTTATTATTGTTACAAACATTTTTTTAAATTGTTTTAGTTAATGTAATAGCCCTGGCTGATCAGAAGGGAGCTGATTGTGTTTTTTTAAATTGGATTTCAGCTGCTGTTCTGTGTTTCAGGTCCCATCAGCAGTATTCTGGTGAACACCTACGGCTGCCGTCCCATCATGATCCTGGGAGGCTTTCTGTGCGCCATCGGGATGATCAGCGCCTCCTTCTGCAACACCGTCATGCAGCTCTACATCTGCATCGGCGTCATCGGCGGTGAGTGTTTAACCGCATCAGTTTGACCCACATTCAGTTTCCAAAGTGCTTGAAATGCTGGTTCTTCTCATTATGCAAAATGCAGATTATAGGTATTTTGGGTTTCTTCTCACAATATTCATAGCCTCAAGGGGACCTTTGCAAAAATAAAAAATATACAGACTTTTATGTGCACATGAGAAACCATTAAACTTAGCATATAGGACAATGCACACTGAGCCACCTATTGCGACATCAGCTCATTTAACGGTGTGGTTTTTTGGCCTCCACAGAGTATGTGTAAGAGTTCATTATTGCTCATATTTCATATCTCTGACATGCTACAATGGAGGTTTTATGAAAACTACAATGTTCATTTTGGCAAGTTTAATGGAAGCCAATGTGGGTCAATCTGACGCCCAACACAAATGGTGTACCATTACTTTCAACACAACAGGAGTTCATCATTTCTCATATTTAACTTTTTTTTTTTGTCTCCAACAAGCTACAATAGAAGTTTTACATATAAAGAAAATCATCTTTAGTGTTTTTCATAGAGTTTATTTTTGGCGATTTGTATGGAAACCAATCGGGGTCAAAATAACCCCCAACACAAATGATATACCATTATGGATGAATGCAGCCATTTTTTGGGTTATAAGCTCAATGGATTCGGGGAGTCAGCCAGTATCCCACAATGCCCTCTACCATCTTGTTTCCTCTCACAGGCTTCGGTCTGGCCTTCAACCTCCAGCCGGCACTTACGATGATCGGGAAGTATTTCTACAAGAAGCGTCCCATCGCTAATGGCTTCGCCATGGCCGGCAGTCCCGTGTTCCTCAGCACGCTAGCGCCGCTCAACCAGTATCTGATCAATGAGTACGGATGGAGGGGAAGCTTCTTGATCCTCGGCGGGCTCCTGCTCAACTGCTGCGTGGCCGGATCGCTCATGAGGCCCCTGGTGGCCCCGCCGAACACGGCCAAAGCGCTGGAGGAGAAACCGTCGACGGTTAAAGGTGACCTATTATGCCCCTTTTTACAAGATGTAAAATAAGTGTCTGATGTCCCCAGAGTGTGCATGTGAAGTTTTGGCTCAAAATACCCCACAGATCATTTTTTTATAGCTTGTTAAAGTTGCCACTTTCAGGCCGTTTTTGTGTTTGTCCCTTTAAATGCAAATGAGCTATCGCAGCTTTTGCTTAATCGCGATTTCATTGCAATTTATCGTGCGGCCCTACATTATAGGCTGGTTGTTTCAACACACTGCGGCCACAGAAATAGGGCTGCACGATAAATCGAAATGCGATTGTCATGCGCATCTCGTCAGTGAAGCACGATTCTGTGATCAGCAGTAAATCTCCATCCGAAGGCCAGAGGAACTCCTAATACGCCTCGCAGAAGAAACCCAGAAAATCTCTATCGCTGCAGCTGAATAAACAGAAGATTCAACTGCTTTCATTGATTCAGCGTGACTAATAAACACACAACTACGACAATACATGATTTATCCGAGTTCGTCCACTATCGTGGAGTGCTGTCCGGTGCTCATCGGACCGCCGCTGGCAGGTAATAAAATAAGAAAAAACATAAATATAAATATAAATATTAAGTGTAAAACATACAAATAAAAAATACTGAAAATGACTTAAATTAAAACTGAAATAAAAATACATGTTTGGTGCTCATCGGACCACTGCTGGCGGGTAAAAACGCAAGATAAAATATGAATATAAATATTACATTTAAAACATAAAAATTAAAAATACTGAAAATGAATAAAATTAAAATAATTAAAACTGTAATAAAAAATAAATGTCTGGTACTCATTGGACCACCGCTGGCGGGTAATAACATAAAATATGTATATTAGATAAAAAATGTAAACGAAAAATATAAATACTGAAAATGACTTAAATTAAAACTGAAATAAAAATACATGCCGGGTGCACATCAGACTGCCTCTGGCAGGTAATAAGATCAAATGAAATATAAATATTAAATTAAAAATTAAAAACATTAAATTTAATTAAGATTTAAAAAATTTAAACTGAAATAAAAAAAAAATAAATGTCAGGTGCTCATCAGACCGCTGCTGGCAGGTAATAAAATATGAATATTTGATGAAAAACTTGAAATAAAAAACTATAAATTAAAGCTAAATAATATTTAAAAGAACAAAATCTAATACAAATTACAAAAGCACATAAGGGTTATTACGTAAATATAATAAAATGTAAAACCTTTTATTTCAGCTAGTAGCCAAGGCAACATCTTATTTTCATTAAGTTTAAAAAAACTTTAAAAACTAAAATAATAAAAATTACAAAAACACAACAAAATTACTATAACTAAAATAAAAAAATTAAAACAGAAAATATAAAAAAAAATTACAATATTGATGACAACTATAATAGTATTTGGTATTAAAATAACAACACATAACAAAAATGATAATGGAGAATATATAATAAAATCTAATTTAAAATGTTAATGAAAACTATAATATTATCTTAACGATACTAAAATAACACATTAGGGCACATTACTAAATTACTAAAATTAAAATGAAAACTGTAAATCTAGGAAAAAAAAGCTAATAAAATAAATAATGCTGAACTAAAATAACAATGGTTCTGCATCTGTTTCTCAACTCTTTTTTGTTCTCTAACTTCAATACACTTACTAAGTCTTAAAAACACTAAATGTCAGTGCTTCACATTTCTTTTATTGTCTTTCCCCCTTTGTTTTGATTTCTAAACTCTCTTTTTGAACAGAATATTCCTTTCATGTGTACACGTATATCTGTAATTGTGTCTGTAATCCTGTAATTAACACATGGCATTGATTTGTAGGGAAGTTAGTGGACATCACAAAGAACTACAAGTACATGTACCTGTGCTGCGGGTCGGTGGTCGTCCTTTCCAGCATCTGGCTCTTCATCGGCAACTTCATCAACTACCGGCTGGTGGAGCGCGAGCGCAAGCAAGAGGAGACGTACAAACGTGGCGAGCGCGAGGAGCAGGAGCAGACGGAGACCCACGCAGACGCAGACGCAGACGCAGACGCTGAAGCGGCGCAGCAGCTCTGCGAGAACAAAGACGGTGTCCTGCAGCGAGAAACCAACATCTGAAGGCCTATGCAAACTCTGAAGACACTGCCAAACCTGTAGAGGCTTTATTAGACAGATCACAGCAGAACTCTAGAGATCAACGCTAGGGCTGGGAAAATAAGTCGATGCATCGCCAATCGAGAAATGATTCAGCGTCGATTCTGAGATTTTGTTTCCACCACAAAATTAATAAATTAGAACTTTTTATCTCACAATTCACTTTTTTTTTGTTTACAAGATATAAACTTGGAATTCAGAGGGGAAAAAAGGTCAAAACTGTGCTCAAAACTCAAAATTACAAATTCAGAATTTTAAGTTCTAAATCTTGCATTTTTGCAATTTTGAGTTTTAATCTCACAAACTGTGCTTATATCTCAATTCTGAGTTTAAATCTCACGATGTAGGTTTATATTTCACAATTTGAGTTTATATATCATAATTGAGTTTGTCTCATAATTCTGAATTTATATCATAATTTTGAGTTTAAATCTCACAATTTGAGTTTATATCTCATTATTGACTTTGTCTCATATTTCTGAATTTATATCATAATTTTGAGTTTAAATCTCACAATTTGAGTTTACATCTCATAATTGAGTTTGTCTCATATTTCTGAATTTATATCATAATTTTGAGTTTAAATCTACCAATTTCAGTGTATATCTCATAATTGAGTTTAAATCTCACAATTTGAGTTTATATCTCATAATTGAGTTTGTCTCATAATTCTGAATTTATATCATAATTTTGAGTTTATATCTCATAATTCTGAGTTTATATCATTATTGACTTTGTCTCATAATTCTGAGTTTATATCATAATTTTAAGTTTAAATCTCACAATTTGAGTTTTTGAGATTTTCCGAATGCATGGCGATTCTTTCTCGAGTCGATTCTGAGCTTAGTTTTGAACAGCAGATGGCGCTGCATGCTTCAGAAACAGCCGTACTCTGCTCGTTTCCAAATCCTTACACACACTTGATCATTCATAACATTTGAAAAGGTTGAAGCGAATCACAAGGGTGTTCACAGTGGGCTGTGTTTACATTAATCATAAAAGCATTCTGAGCCGAGGTGAAATTACATGAGTATTTGAGCGTGCTGATGAAAACTAGAGTAGAGCGCCATCTGCTGTTAAAATCTAAGCTCAGAATCGATTCCAGAGAGAATCACGAAGCATTCGGAAGATCTCAGAACCGATCCACGAATCCATTCTGCATCGATTTATCATCGCAGCCCTAATAAATGCGCACTTTGATATAGACGGCCTTTATAGCTTGGTATCGGTCATTTCTCGTGGCTCGGGTTCGGCAAACGTCCGTATTTGACAGCCAAACGCCAGACGTCCAGCTGGTTTGAGTGTGTTTTATACATCAAGCTGCTGGCGCCTGCAATCTGACTGAATGTAAATCTGTATGAGTTTCTGATGTTTTAGGGCCTTACGAATCCGAGCATTCGGAAGATCTCAGAACCGATCCACGAATCCATTCTGCATCGATTTATCATCGCAGCCCTAATAAACGCGCACTTTGATATAGACGGCCTTTATAGCTTGGTATCGGTCATTTCTCGTGGCTCGGGTTCGGCAAACGTCCGTATTTGACAGCCAAACGCCAGACGTCCAGCTGGTTTGAGTGTGTTTTATACGTCAAGCTGCTGGCGCCTGCAATCTGACTGAATGTAAATCTGTATGAGTTTCTGATGTTTTAGGGCCTTACGAATCCGTTCCTGACCAAAATCACTTCTGAGGATCTTTACCAAATCTAGAGCTTCAAGCAATATGATTTCCACCAACATCCTCAGGGCAAACACTCGTTTAGTTATTTTTTAGTTACACAGGGTATTTGATTTTCACATGATTCCTGTGCTCAGTTTGAGAGTGCCACTTTCAACACTCTCCCAACTCATGATGTATTGCCTTAAATGTAATGTAAGCATCTACTATTCTAACTGTGAATATAATGCTATATTTAATGTACTTGCTGATGTACATTTACTAATCAATTGGATAGAGGCTAAATAATTTGGAAGCCTGTTTCCACCACAAACTAAAAAAAATTATGTTTTTATCTCACAATTCAGACTTTTTTTTTTTTTAATTTACAAGATATAAACTTGGAATTCAGAGGGGAAAAAAGGCCAAAATTGAGGTCAAAACTCAAAATTACAAATTCAGAATTTTAAGCTATAAATCTTGCACTTTGACTTTAAATCTTGCAATTTTCAGTTTTAATCTCACAAATTGTGTTTATATCTCAATTCTGAGTTTATATCGCACAACTGCATTTATAGCTCATAATTCTGAGTTTAAATCTAACAATTTGAGTTGGTATCTCATAATTCTGAGGTCAAATCTAACAATTTGAGTTGGTATCTCATAATTCTGAGGTCAAATCTAACAATTTGAGTTGGTATCTCATAATTCTGAGGTCAAATCTAACAATTTGAGTTGGTATCTCATAATTCTGAGGTCAAATCTAACAATTTGAGTTGGTATCTCATAATTCTGAGGTCAAATCTAACAATTTGAGTTGGTATCTCATAATTCTGAGGTCAAATCTAACAATTTGAGTTGGTATCTCATAATTCTGAGGTCAAATCTAACAATTTGAGTTGGTATCTCATAATTCTGAGGTCAAATCTAACAATTTGAGTTGGTATCTCATAATTCTGAGGTCAAATCTAACAATTTGAGTTGGTATCTCATAATTCTGAGGTCAAATCTAACAATTTGAGTTGGTATCTCATAATTCTGAGGTCAAATCTAACAATTTGAGTTGGTATCTCATAATTCTGAGGTCAAATCTAACAATTTGAGTTGGTATCTCATAATTCTGAGGTCAAATCTAACAATTTGAGTTGGTATCTCATAATTCTGAGGTCAAATCTAACAATTTGAGTTGGTATCTCATAATTCTGAGGTCAAATCTAACAATTTGAGTTGGTATCTCATAATTCTGAGGTCAAATCTAACAATTTGAGTTGGTATCTCATAATTCTGAGGTCAAATCTAACAATTTGAGTTGGTATCTCATAATTCTGAGGTCAAATCTAACAATTTGAGTTGGTATCTCATAATTCTGAGGTCAAATCTAACAATTTGAGTTGGTATCTCATAATTCTGAGGTCAAATCTAACAATTTGAGTTGGTATCTCATAATTCTGAGGTCAAATCTAACAATTTGAGTTGGTATCTCATAATTCTGAGGTCAAATCTAACAATTTGAGTTGGTATCTCATAATTCTGAGGTCAAATCTAACAATTTGAGTTGGTATCTCATAATTCTGAGGTCAAATCTAACAATTTGAGTTGGTATCTCATAATTCTGAGGTCAAATCTAACAATTTGAGTTGGTATCTCATAATTCTGAGGTCAAATCTAACAATTTGAGTTGGTATCTCATAATTCTGAGGTCAAATCTAACAATTTGAGTTGGTATCTCATAATTCTGAGGTCAAATCTAACAATTTGAGTTGGTATCTCATAATTCTGAGGTCAAATCTAACAATTTGAGTTGGTATCTCATAATTCTGAGGTCAAATCTAACAATTTGAGTTGGTATCTCATAATTCTGAGGTCAAATCTAACAATTTGAGTTGGTATCTCATAATTCTGAGGTCAAATCTAACAATTTGAGTTGGTATCTCATAATTCTGAGGTCAAATCTAACAATTTGAGTTGGTATCTCATAATTCTGAGGTCAAATCTAACAATTTGAGTTGGTATCTCATAATTCTGAGGTCAAATCTAACAATTTGAGTTGGTATCTCATAATTCTGAGGTCAAATCTAACAATTTGAGTTGGTATCTCATAATTCTGAGGTCAAATCTAACAATTTGAGTTGGTATCTCATAATTCTGAGGTCAAATCTAACAATTTGAGTTGGTATCTCATAATTCTGAGGTCAAATCTAACAATTTGAGTTGGTATCTCATAATTCTGAGGTCAAATCTAACAATTTGAGTTGGTATCTCATAATTCTGAGGTCAAATCTAACAATTTGAGTTGGTATCTCATAATTCTGAGGTCAAATCTAACAATTTGAGTTGGTATCTCATAATTCTGAGGTCAAATCTAACAATTTGAGTTGGTATCTCATAATTCTGAGGTCAAATCTAACAATTTGAGTTGGTATCTCATAATTCTGAGGTCAAATCTAACAATTTGAGTTGGTATCTCATAATTCTGAGGTCAAATCTAACAATTTGAGTTGGTATCTCATAATTCTGAGGTCAAATCTAACAATTTGAGTTGGTATCTCATAATTCTGAGGTCAAATCTAACAATTTGAGTTGGTATCTCATAATTCTGAGGTCAAATCTAACAATTTGAGTTGGTATCTCATAATTCTGAGGTCAAATCTAACAATTTGAGTTGGTATCTCATAATTCTGAGGTCAAATCTAACAATTTGAGTTGGTATCTCATAATTCTGAGGTCAAATCTAACAATTTGAGTTGGTATCTCATAATTCTGAGGTCAAATCTAACAATTTGAGTTGGTATCTCATAATTCTGAGGTCAAATCTAACAATTTGAGTTGGTATCTCATAATTCTGAGGTCAAATCTAACAATTTGAGTTGGTATCTCATAATTCTGAGGTCAAATCTAACAATTTGAGTTGGTATCTCATAATTCTGAGGTCAAATCTAACAATTTGAGTTGGTATCTCATAATTCTGAGGTCAAATCTAACAATTTGAGTTGGTATCTCATAATTCTGAGGTCAAATCTAACAATTTGAGTTGGTATCTCATAATTCTGAGGTCAAATCTAACAATTTGAGTTGGTATCTCATAATTCTGAGGTCAAATCTAACAATTTGAGTTGGTATCTCATAATTCTGAGGTCAAATCTAACAATTTGAGTTGGTATCTCATAATTCTGAGGTCAAATCTAACAATTTGAGTTGGTATCTCATAATTCTGAGGTCAAATCTAACAATTTGAGTTGGTATCTCATAATTCTGAGGTCAAATCTAACAATTTGAGTTGGTATCTCATAATTCTGAGGTCAAATCTAACAATTTGAGTTGGTATCTCATAATTCTGAGGTCAAATCTAACAATTTGAGTTGGTATCTCATAATTCTGAGGTCAAATCTAACAATTTGAGTTGGTATCTCATAATTCTGAGGTCAAATCTAACAATTTGAGTTGGTATCTCAT